AAACGTTAATAAAGTAATAATAAATATCTATTAAATATATAAAGTAACAAATACATATTAATTATTACTCAAATTATTATTTCTAGTCGTTCTCAATGTATCAAGCGTCTATATGCAAAGAAAAGCCAAAACCTATGGTTTTTATCATTAAATGAAGATATAGCATAAAGATGCTTTGCGGGCTTTACAGCATAACCAGGTTTCATTCGCCCGGGCCGCTGGGCAGTTGCCCCCTTATCCCCCCCTGTCGGTGGGCCTGTAACCAATGATTTTATATTATTTATGAAAGAACTCGCTATTTTTAAAATTTAATCACTAAATTAATATAAACAACCCTTTGGAGTAATATGGATGCGTATGACGCAAGCGAGACACTTGTTTAAGTTCTCGTAAATTACTCGTGTTAACCAAGATATTTTAAGTAATATTACTGCTGCATTTTAGGTTCTTATAGAAATATTGTTTCTTTCATTTAGTAAAAATAATTTTATTTGTGTATTTGTTTTAATTCAAAAATACTACTGGTTATAGTAACTATAAATTCGATCTTAACATTTGAGTCACGTGATCGAAAGTAGTTCAAATATGGTTCCTAATTACATCAGAAAGTGTTTTTACCAGGTACCACGGAAAAGCTCGAGCGATGTTTCGATTGAGATCTGTATATCCGAATAATAACTAATCAGAGATATTATAGTATTTGTGAAGAAATGGTAAACTATTTTATGTAAGTTTTGATATTAATAATTATATTCAGTAACATCAAAAGTTTAGAACTGCCTTTAAGTTTATTCAATTACATATGTTCTTATCGCGTTTCACAAGTATTTGTTTACATTTATTTATTTTTGAAGTTCTCGGATAGGTTGTGTACTTGCAGCGTAACTGTGTAACGTTAAACCTGCATTGTGCCGTATAACTGCACAAAATTTGACTCGACACTGTGAGTCTGAGGAAATAGAACTTCTTAGAATTGCCCACAGTAGTTTCAGGCCTATTAGTATAAGTTA